GCTGGAGAGGGTGTGGAGAAAAGGGAACCCTTCTGCACTGTTGGTGGGAATGTAAACTGGTGCAGCCACTACGGAGAACAGTATGCAAGTTCCTTAACAAATTAAAAATAGAGTTAGCGTATGATCCAGCAATCCCAAATATCTGGAGAAAACTCTAACTCAAAAAGATACATGCACCCCAATGTTCACTCCAGCACTACACCCATAGCCAAGACGTGGCAGCAACCTAAGTGTCCATCGACAGTTGAATGGAAAACAAAGATGTGGTCCATATATACAATGGAATACTACTCAGCCATAAAAAAGGAACGAAATAATGCCATTTGCAGCAACGTGGATGCAACTAGAGATGATCATACTAAGTGAAGTAAGGCAGACAAAGACACATACCATATGATATCACTTATAAGTGGAATCTAATTTTTTTTAAATGATACAAATGAACTTATTTATGAAACAGAAACAGACTCAGACATAGAAAACAAACTCATGGTTACCAAGGAGGAAAGGGAGAGAGGGACAAATTAGGATTTGGGAATTAACAGATACACACCCCTATATATAAAATGGATAATCAACAAGGACCTACTGCAGAGCACAGGGAACTATATTCACTATCTTGTAATAACCTATAATAGAAAAGAATCTGAAAAAGAATACGTCTCTCTCTCTATATAAAATATATATATATATATAACTGAATCACTTTGCTGTACACCTGAAACTAACACAACGTTGTAAATCAACTACACTTCAATAAAAGGCAAAAAAAAAACAAAAATAAAAAACAACGTTTTTAAAGAAAAGCAAGAAATAATCACAGAAACACCAACGTGTCTAGGGGCACGGGGCCTCCTCAGGCAGGTAGGTAATTTCATCCCTATGCTTCCAGTGTGGACAGTAAAATAACGACAACCATGGTCTTTATGGGCCTTACCGGGTTACTTGGGGATTAACTGTATATAAAGGAATTATTTTTAGCTTGTATCTCATACAGACGGCGACAGACCGGATGTTAATTTTTCTTATGATTATTGCACTTATCAGGGTAAAACAGATAACAACCTAACTGCACCAGAAAGGAAGTTTGATCAAGAAACAGATACCCCCAAGGGCAATGCAGAGGAAGAGGATTAAGAGGTACAGACTATTAGGCATAAAATAAGCTCCAAGGATATAGTGTACAACACCGGGAATATAGCTGATATTTTCTAATAACTATAAATGGAGTCAAACGTTAAAAAAAACAAACCCAGAGACCCCTGCATACTAGATTGTCAGGGCTCACTCTACGTGGGCAAAATGGGGCAGGAGGGACACCAAAACAGAAACACGGGGAACCTTTAATCGGAGGGATTTGAGGGGCCTGGCATTCATCATTTCTCACTTCGGCATCATGTGAGCCATGGCCGTGGCGGCAGGCACACGTCACCAAGCCTTCTGTGGGTCCCCAGCTCCTACTTCCTGGCCTCACCCCGTGTCTGGTTCACGTGTACTGTGAGAGCCCGCCCTTCGCCCCGGCATCCGGCCATGGCTGTGCTGTACCCTGGGTGTCCGATGCCCTGTGGAGAGGGGTCTGCTGAGGTCCAGCGGGACCCAGATGAGTCCTCCAAGCGGACTTTGGTGGAACTGGGACTGACATGTCCACACGGCTGGATATAGAGAACCAACAAGGCCCTACTGTAGAGAACAGAGAACTCTACTCATTATCTTACAATAACCTATAATGTCATTGATGGACCGAGAGATTCTCATACGGAGTGAAGTAAGTCAGACAGAGACAAATACCCTGTGGTATCACTTATACATGCAATCCAAAAAAAGATGACAAATGCAGGGGACACAGGTTCGAGTCCTGGTCTGGGAAGATCCCACATGCCACGGAGCAAGTAAATCCGTGCGCCACAACTACTGAGCCTGCGCGTCTGGAGCCTGTGCTCTGCAACAAGAGAGGCCGCGACAGCGAGAGGCCCGCGCACCGCCATGAGGAGTGGCCCCCGCTCGCCAGAACTAGAGAAAGCCCGCGCACAGAAACGAAGACCCAACACAGCCAAAAATTAATTAATTAATTTAAAAAAATAATAGAGAAACATGGGTCTTAATGAGATGCTAAATATGAAAATAGTGTATATGCTTTACATTCTGCAATTTTTTTTTGGTTTGTTTTAAGAAAGCACATTAAGCTTTAATATAGAAATATTTAGGTTACACTTGTGCTCAAGTAATAATAAAACATTTGTTCTTTTTGATCTCATACATTCTCTCTATCTCCTGCACGCCTGGAGCGACCTTTGGCTGTGTGGCTGGCCTTGTTACTTTACCACTCTGGATATACTGGAATAGAAAGAAACTTACATACAAGAACAATTAACTGGAGCAAAGGGAGAAGATATTTCTTTGTGCAGATTCCATAAAGACTGTGCAGATGTGTATACGGTCTAAGCCAGGCAGTTCCACTTAACAGCACTGTTTTTTATATAGTTACAACATGACGTGATTGTAGCTCTGTAAACTATGAAACCCGAGAGACTGTACCTTCTAGTTGAAATAAAGCATTTATAAATAATTTATAAATAAAGTATTTATAAATATTTATAAAATACTTTAGTTGAAATAAAGTATTTATAAACACTTTATAAATAAATACTTTAGAAATAAAGTATTTATAAAGCATTTATAATAGACTGTCGCTTCAGATGCTGTTTGTTGCTTCTTGGACCTTTAAGAAACGTTCTTAATCAACTTTATAGAATTCTGAGGACAGGGTTGTTGGGTTTTTTTTTTTCAAGTTTTAAATTGCTTCATTATTTTTAAGAGGTCTGGGTATAGCTTTAGCATTTCATATGCTTTCTGAGAGAAATGGACAGTTTACCTGGCCACTGAAGACGTTTCTCACGTAATTAAACAACAGTTTTTTCATTTTTTTTTTTTTTTTTTTTTTTTTTTTTTTTTTTTACTGTGTGTTTCTTTGGAGTTAAAATGGCTATGACAGCCTCATCAAAATCAGTCTTCAATCCCTTCTGGGTTAAAGCTAAACATTCCACAGAGCAGCACGCACCTATCTCTTTTGCTCGTTTCTGTCCTTGTTCCACACATATAGGCTTTTCCTTCGTATCATTCAGTCTGGCTAAAGTTTTGGGGTCATCTCGCAGGTCAATCGAGTTCCTATTAATAAAAAGAGTACGTTTGGTGCGTATTCCTTAAGTTCTGGTACCCACTCCTCTTTCACATTTTGAAATGAGGCTGGATTTACCACAGAGACGCATATAAGGAAGACATCAGTCACTGGATAAGATGAAGGCCTCAGACGATCCGGCTGTGTCATAGAGTCCCAGGAGGTACTGCCTGCCCCCTACGGTGACGCTGACTGCGTAGTGGTCGAAGACGGTGGGCACGTCCTCCTCCGGGAAGGCGTCGTTGGCATAGCTCATGAGTAGGCACGTCTTGCCCACCGCCCCGTCGCCGACCACCACGCACTTGAGCATCAGCGCGCCGGGCCCATGAGCCACGCTGCGGCCGGCCGGCCTCCGGACATGGTCCCCCCCGGAGCCCCCGCCCCGGCCCTGGGCTCAGCCCCTGCCCGCCTGGGGGGTCCGCCGCCGCCGCCGCTCAGCGCAGCACGGCCGACCCCCCGGCCCCATGCAGCGACTGCCCCCGCCCGAGGGGAGGGGGCGGCGGGCCCAAGGCGCTGCCCGGATCCCCGCCCGGCCCCGGTCGCCGCATCCGCCCGCTGCCCCCCGCCGCTCGGCGCGCGCGCCCTCTCCCCGGCCCGACCTCCCCAGGAGGACCCACTGGATCATCTACAACGTTTTTTTTAGTTAGGAACCAATAACAAATGCTTGCCTAATCTAGGTATTTGCAACTAAACCATGAGTTGAACGTCAGACACCTACCTATTCATTTCCTTCTGCAAAGTTACCAGTAAACCGGGGATACTTAGAAGGTTTTAATAAGTCACCTTCCTTTATTTCAAAAGCTTGGACTTTGTAACGTATTTATCATAAAATACCTGACAACTGGTCTCTCTCATTTAGATGTTGCAAAAATAATATTAAGATAATATTCAAAAAACAAAGATGACACAAATGAACTTAATTACAAAATAGAAACAGACTGACAGGCTTAGAGAACAAATTTACGGTTATGGGGGGAAGGATCGGGAGGAGGGATAGATTGGGAGTTTGGGGTTAGCAGATGCAAACTCTCACAGGTAGAATGGATAACCAACAAGGACCTGCCGTAGAGCACAGGAAACTCTACTCAATATTCTGTAACAACCGAAACGGGAACAGAATCTAAGAGTGGACACATGTATATGCATAACTGAATCGCTGTGCTGTACCCCTGAAACTCACACTGCATGGTTCATCAACTGTCTGCCAACAGAAAATAAAAAGTAAAAGAGAAGCCAAGCGCTGTCCAAGGAGACACCGCGCGCAGGGCGGCACAGACACAAGCGGGCAGCACACGCAATTATTCCCGAACCAGAGGGAGGCTGGAGGGGAAGACACACGGCTTTCACTTCTCGAGGCAGACGGGTGTGCTTCCAACGCCCTTCAAGAGTGCACAAACCAGGGCCAGGGAGAGTCCAGAAGGACAACCCCAGATGCCGCCTGCTCTTTCAAGACATGACCCTCTGAGACCCATCAGCCCCGACTCAGACACGCTCGCATATGACCAGGGTCCTTGGGAGCAAATGCAAGCCCGCCGCCGGCCTCAGACCGAAGTCGATTTTTCTCCTTTCCAACAACAAGAACAAAAAATTGCCGACACCCCCGTGGATACACAGGGGAGGGTTCTGCCTCGGTGCTTCTTATCTCGGCAATGGGACCACGGGCTCCCAGGCCACGAGGCTTCTCAGCGTCCTGAGGACCACCCCACCCCCACCCCGGGCACGAGTACAGAAAGCCCAGCCCCTTCGGGAAGGTGAAACCAAACTCTGCCCACGTGGGCTCGGAGCACACAAGCCACAGCGACACACCCGACCACCGCAGCCTTACCTTGAATAACCACCGGCCGAACAGCTTCTTAATGAACCGTGTGCCCCAGAAGACGTGTCTATACAGGTCGGTGTCCACCACGCCGGGGTCGGCCACGTTGGCGGTCACGGGGCTGCCCGTGGCCTCCAGCAGCGCCTGCAGGTGGTAGGTGAACAGCACCAGGGCCAGCTTGCTCTGGGCGTACGCCGCGTGCGCCGAGTAGCTGCTGCTGCAGAAGCAAAGCGGGAGAGGGTGTGAAACGCAGGCGTCTGGCCCCGATTCTCCCCTCGCCCGGCCGGCAATCTGCAGCTACAGGCTGAGGGCAGCTACACACGCACCTGAGTTCAAGTGCGTCACGAGAATCGTTTCCACCTCTGAGAACTGACTGCGTTTTTCTCTCCTCCCAACGCTCAGCGCTTGGGAAACAGGCCCTGACGCGTGTCCTGCTCGGACGCAGCCTGTCCATTTTGGCTTCCTACCGTTGCAGATCATGTTATGGGGGGCACAACATGTTTACAACCCGGGATGCCTCTCTGGCAAAACACATTCGTTAGGGATTAGTCACTTTCTTCAGGCCCATAGCTCCTTTTCCTGAATTTTATGGGATATGAATACAGCCCCACCTGAGTTCCTTCTTCCAGTGGGATGTGCCCCATATTCTATGTTACTTTCACTCTTTCAACCTCAGAGGTGTCTCCTAAGTTGGGAGAAAATCCATCCATGGAATTCACCCTCGTGGGAGCTTCACACAAAGATGAAAAGAAGGAAATGAGAGTCGTCGCGTGAAACGCAGAGAAAACACGCTTTGGAATTCAACGGACAAAAGCTCTTCCTAAATAGGAATTAAAAATTGCAATAAATGGGGACTTCCCTGGTGGCGCGGTGGTTAAGAATCCACCTGCCAACGCAGGGGACACGGGTTTGAGCTCTGGTCCGGGAAGATCCCACATGTCGCGGAGCAACTAAGCCCGTGCGCCACAACTGCTGAGCCTGCGCTCTAGAGCCTGCGAGCCACAACTGCTAAGCCCGCGTGCCACAACTACTGAAGCCCTAGAGCCTGTGCTTCGCAACAAGAGAAGCCACTGCAATGAGAAGCTCGTGCACTGCAACGAAGAGTAGCCCCTGCTCGCTGCCACTTAGAGAAAGCCTGCGTGCAGCAACGAGGACCCAACGCAGCCAAAAAAAAAACTGCAATAAACGAACTAAACTGACTAAATGATTCAGAAAAGTGAACTGAGAATGTGACCAAGGAAAGCACAGAAGGGGGAAAAAAAAATAAAAGGAAAAGGGAAGTGCAGAAAACAGGCCAAGAAAGGCTATCAGAGAAATCGAGCCTCATATGCTTAGTTGCCGAGTGAGACTTTCTGAAAAACCTCAATCCTGTAAATTGCACACATGGGCGCTTGTCTGTTCCTATGTGACAACCACATCAACCCCTTTTCGGACTGGGTCCTGCCTCCTGCTGTTTCCTGGGTAGCATCTTTCTTCCTCATCAGCATGTCCCCACGGTGTGCCCATCACACAGCCCCTCGTCACAAGAGGCCACAGGCAAACTCGGAGGTTTGGCCTCGGGTCCATGCAGTTTAAGCTGGAAAATAAGCCCCGAGTCTTTTGTCTGAAAGATGACTCAGAACAAGTCAGCCAAGGGTGACACTGGACAAGCTTGTCGCAGGGCGTCGGCCAAAGGAATTCCAAACAGATCTTTTGTTGGAGGGAGGAATTAAGACAAAAATATAGTGCAGTTCTGAGCACAGATGCCCTCCTCTGATCCACGACAACCTCCCAATTACCGTCAAGATTTTTGGCAGTTTCCTCCTGTCTCTTCCCCCCAGAAGAGGAGAGACCTCCAGGAAAGAGGGAGTTATTAAGTGGGGGGAGAGAAAGGCTGAACTTTCACCTTGGAATTGGGCCATTTCGACCTCACGTGCACGCCTTTGCTCCTGAATTACCACGGCTGCTTGGGAGGGAACAGGAATCCCGAATTTAGAAAGAAGAGAGGGAACCATAAATGTGCACATTCCTCAAGGGTAAACTGACAAGTGATATAACTACGGTTTTCTACGGTAGCATGGAGAAGAGAGAACGGAAATTGGGTGGGGGGGAGTCAATACATTTCTCTTCAGGAGGAAAAAAAAAAATCAAGAGTACAAGTTATTTCAGGAGAGGTTCCCTGGTGGATTTAAAGATAAATAACCATCCACAGAAGAATTGGAAAGGAATCAAAGCCGATACACAAGAGGACATGATTCCCCATGAAAGTTTATAAATAAAGCCCCGAGGAATGGCAGACACTTGGAGTTTAAAACAATGAGGAGACTGTTGCAATTTTAACAGACAGAAGGCAGCTGAAAGAGAGAATCAGTCCACAAACTTAAGCAGAGGCAGAAGAAATTCATGAAATGTCTGCGTGGCTTGATTCTAAACATGAGATTTTTAATACGTTGCTTTTGTAATGAATGGTGTCAAAAGGTAGAACGGAAACCATAAAAATATACCTTTGTTTTCAATACATAATCATCTATTGATGTAACTACTTGGTAACTAATTTGAAAGTCAATCTGAAACAAAAGTAGAGACAGTCTTGTGGTAGGCTTTTTGTTGGGGAGGAAAAACTTTTCTCCTGTACTTTTGTGTTCTGTCCCTGAGGCCTGCAAATTAAACCACCAAGTGTCAGATTAAAGAGAGAAGAATACCGATTTTACTTCTAATTTTACATGTATGGGGAACTTCATAGAAAAGAAGTGAAAACCCCAAAGAGTTGGGAAGTCCTCGTTTCTCACAAATTTCTGCTTTTCGTCAGATAAGGGAGGCTCCAGAAAGGCACCCTTCTGCATCTGTTGCTTCTCCACGATACCTGGGTTTCACGTAAACAGTATGTGACATTTGCAAGATTGAGGACGGTACTTGATCTGCATCTGGCATTGATCTGACAGCCGATCTACACCCACTGAGGAAGTAACATTGAGCCACCTGAGACCAGGTGCTAAGTGCACAGGGTCCGCTAGTGCCCCCATGCTCAGCAAGATGCCAGGAATGTAGCAGGCCATACATTTCTGCTAAGCAAATGAGGTTTTCAAGTTCTCATCAAAGACAAAACTACTATTGCCTATGACAATAAATGCACACCCACATATTTCTACTTTTTAAAATATACACATGTAAAACCTACATTTTAATAAAGTATTGTGGGGGGGAATCTTTTCCCTCTATCCTCTTAGGTTCTGTCCTGGGGCCTGCAAATCAAACTGCTAAAGGACAGTTTAACAAGAGAAAACAGTTTAAATTACATACAAGGAGGTGGCCAGATGATAGAGGCTTATATATCATCTTAGGGTAAACAAAGGCAAAGGGGCTTTGGGATTCTGGGTGGAGGAGGCAGGTTATGGGAAGGGAAGAAATGTGTATATATAAATAAGGACCGTCTTGTTATGCAAATAAGAGTCTCTGGGGTGAAAAGAGTCATCTCCAGGAATAGCTCTCTTCCTGGAATGGAGACATTACTACAAATGGAAAATTCCTGGATAAATATAAATTTCCTTTCCAAAACAGTAAATTGATACTTTACTTTTTAGACAGTTGGGGACGGTGGGGGGGGGGAGTAAAGAGCGTTTCCTGGGTCTGCTTGTTCTCAATTGCCTTTAGCTCAAAACACCCCATGTATCAAAGAGGTACATTTGGGGCTGGCATGTTCTGGTCCCCTTCAGTAGGACCAAAGGTATACCTTGGGAGAATATTTAAGGATAATATTAATTTTTCATTATTATAAAAGAAATATATATTGGTTGTAAAAAAATTACAAAGCTCAAAGAAGAATGGAAAATCAGTTCCATAGTGATTTCACAGTGTTTTCCTCCACCAAGAAATGGTCATCGATCACACTGCATGAGTGTGTATATATATTTGTATATACACATATACACATATATGTATATGAATGTGTATACATATGTGTATACGCACATATATGTATATATACTCATATATACATATATGTGCACCTATATATGTGTATATATACTCATATATACATAGATGTGTCTACATATATACTCACATATATACTCATATATACGTATGTCTCTCTCTATATATACTCATATATATGTATGTGTCTATGTGCGTCTATATATATACTCATATATACATATTTGTGTCTCTATGTGTATACATATTCATATATACATGTATGTTTGTGTCTATATATGTGTGTATATATATATACCCATATACGGATATATGTGTGTGTGTGTGTGTATTCCAACCTATCTTACAGATGGCTTTCCTCACTGGCTTTCCACCATCTTTGACCTACACCGTATTCATCCACTCGCTTTCTACTCAGCACCACTGATTTTTTCACTACGTCCACACGAGTGGTCAAGGCTCCTCGTGCGCACAGCTCTCTACCGCCCACAAGTAAATTATCGCCCACCTGTCCTAGAAAACCATTGTGCATTAAGTGTCTCACGAGGAGTCCGTTTCCTGAACTCCCTCAATCCCATGAGAAATCGTGCCTATGACTATGGGATTTATAAGACAGTATCTTGAAAACCATTAATTCACTGAGCTTTCTTGCTGAAAGAAAACCCCAGTGAAACACACATGACCCTGAATGTGGATATGATTAAGGGTATCTGAGGTCTGTGTTTTCAGCGTATTATAGAAAACATTGTTCCCCTCTTGCCGACGGAGATCAGAAAAAACCAACCGGCCTGAATGGTTTATTATAAGAAAGGAGCTCTTCATTGATTACCTTGATGGACACCGTGCCGTGTGTGTGTCTGTGTGTGTGTGCTGTGTATGTGTGATGGCTCAGTCCCACTCCAGTAAGACAACTGACTGTGTGATGTTCACTTCATATGAGTAAATCCCATTTGCTTCCCTTAAAAGTTCAATTCTGAGACAGTAACACACCAGCACATGGTGAACACAATTATGGAAACTCCACGTACTACCCATAACCTAGTTTCCATTTGGCGCGTTTTGGATGCTGGCCGAGCCCGGTAACGATCAGTCTGCAAGTAGGACCCATATCCAGCATGTCGGCAAGTAAATAATCCCTCAGCTCCAAACTGAAATTTTCCCTTGACAAGACGAACAACTGCCTTGCATTCTGCCTTGGTGTCCTAGGTTTAACATGACGGAGGAAGATGGAAAGAGAGACCACCCACCAGGACCTCTGAAAGTATCGTGAGCTAAGAGGAGTCTCTGTCCTTCCACGAAGGGAAG